TTTGAGATACAGTTTAAATATTTATAAAAACGTCCTTACGTCATGTCTAATTTACCATGACTGAACCACTAAAAAATATATCGGAACGCAGCATAAAAATGAAAATGAAATGGCAAGAACATACGTTACCGTACGGTTTTTGGAACATACGTTACCATATAGGGCTCTTTGCGTAATGTTAAAGACATGGTAAAATTAAAAAATTGAATTTCAGTTGAGACAGTCGTGGATTTTTGTTCTATACACATATATGTTTTGAAATATTGTATACAATTTTGAATTCATTCATTTTTATTTTTTGACACTTCAGCATGTGAAATGCACCTCTATATTGGGTTTGGGTGCAAAGCGACACTCATCAGAAAAAAATTTATATGACCAATTGTCATGGACTGTCCGGTTCCAGATTCTGTTGGCCTTAGTTCACTCTTCGTTGCCTGTTTTGTAACGATATAAGAGGTTTCAGTCTTGCAACCCTGCTGTACACTCTCTGAGCACGTAACCGACGACAGTTTTCACAGACAGATTCTTATGTGTGAAATTGTTCCACTGTGTTGTCAACTGACAAGCAATGTTGAACCTTGACAACCTGGACATCAAAATCAGTCGTCGGTCTTCACGGTCAGTAGTTTTTCTTGGATAACCCATCAGAGGCAATTTGTCTCTTGATCCAGTGTTTCTATACCGAGACCAGACCATCTGCACGGTTCTAACTGAACAATTCAACAGTATCGATATTCTGACATTGCTTATATTCCACCTCTTCAGGTTAATAACTTGACGTCTATTATCGTTAGATAGTATCCTGTATCTTGTCATATTGGAGAAAGACAGGAATGACATTTGCTGTACATGTACAAGACCAACAATACAATTCCATGGTGCAGCGGTTTTATACTCATTAGTCACATTATAAGTAGACCAGGCATTATAACTGCCCAAGATCTGCCTACTTTGATTACTCTGATTTAGGGGGTGACACTTCTATTGTCCAGTGTGTGTATATAGCCTACATATACTTAGCCATCAAACATGTCCTACTGCTAAACACATCCAGGCTATAAGGGTGTAGGCCCCTACCATGCTTGGGTGCAAAACATGCTTAGGAGCTAAATGCGTTGAAAAAATCAGACAAAGCAGGCACTTGGATGTTTTTACAGTGTACGTTATAATTGTGTACCTGTGTTTTGTACCAAAACACTATTTCATGCAAGAATGTTGTCTAACAACTGGATGGGGTTCATACAATGCTGTTATCTGCTGTTGAGTCAACTTTCAAATCCATTGTTTATCCAACGTATTATCAAAGTTATGGCTCAACGTTGTTTCAACGTTAAAAGAACATAATTTGCCCGCTGGGCAATGTGTTGAAACTAATTTTCATTTTCTTTTTTATTGTTTAATTGATTCAGGTATATTTCCAGGATAATGCAAAGTACACTACGTATAGATTTGTAGACCCCTCTCCGTGAATTTGTAGCCCTTTCCCTTCGCTAGCCTCCTAGCGCTCTCACTGTATTGGGGTTAACTTATTGTTTGACGGGTAGTGGCGTGTTCAATCTTGGGAGGGGTGTCAGCCGGACTTCATTTGCCAGTAACCCCCATGTTGCGGGGATAAGTGGCGTGATCGATCTGGTGAGGGGTGCTTGGCTGGATATTATTGGCCAGAAACCCCGATTTTAGTTAGTTACACTTAGAACGTTCTTCATTCACTCACACGATACCCAGAAAATACACGCCATTCAAGTTTTAGGAAGAAGCAATTTCGTCAACCGTAGGAGTTTAAGTTTGATTTTGTTGATAAGTTAAAGTGAGTTTATAGTGAGTTTTAAGTTTGTTTTATTATTTAGTTATTAAATTTAGTTGACAAATATAGCTTAAATTGCTACCGCGACGATCTTTGTTATGGTTCAGAATCCAGTAACGATGTCGATTTACTTAGGGTGATTTCGTGTTTTTTTTTTTGTTCACGGAAAGTGTCACTATATACGATTTACCTGGTGTATTTTATTGTATAAACCCTATGTAAAAAGCTAGAATTCGATCGTAGAACGGATATTTGGCTTAGCGCAAACTTGCCGTATTACTGTGTTAGCGTCGGGATACAAGTGATCTCGTTTAGAGTTTAAAATAGCGTATCAGCGAACTTATTGTTGGCTCCAGTTTTCAGGTCACTGCGAATCTGTAGCACTTTTTCAGTACTGCTTCGCACGTTTTAGTCGGTGACACCACTTCTTGTAAAAATTTACACTTGTTTAACTAATAGGTTACTGTAAATGCTCTTAAATTTAGTACAGATACGTTCTATTGTGAAATGGTAAATTTGCACTTAAGCTTTAGTACAAAGAACGTTCTTACCTTTATTACCGTAGCGTTGAGTTTTACAAAGCATTCTAAATATTGTCACAACTGTGTTACCGTAATTGGCCTTCATTTCTGGACGAAATCTTTTTGTAAAATTTACTTTGTTATTGCCTTTGTAATTATATTTTGTTTATTTTTTCTAATTTAAGACGTGTTGTGTTGTGTTGTGTTGTGTTGTATTGGTATGCTGTCTGATGACAAAAGTCAACGGTCAGAACAAGAAGTTATAACTTCTTGGTCTGTTATAACTCCTTGGAACAACCAAGATAAATTCCCATCAGAATCCACCCATGGCAAAGTGCCAAAATCCAAAGTGGCCACCAATGCATAGGAAATGGGTATTTTTTGGGCATTTCATGGAAACTGGATAATTTTGAAACTTGTGAAAAGTATCATTTCTTATGTTTAAAGGCACGGCCATTCAAATGTTTAGAAATCATCAGAAATCAAGGCCATGCCTAAATTTCAAGGTCAATCTAAAAAAAAAAAAAAATTAATAGCCTAAAATACAACATTATGACTTTTTTTATTCTTTCAAAAATGAACTTTTCATGATTTTTCTAGCTCCTATTGAGAACTGCATACAAGAGATCACCAATGCGGTTGAACTATAGATGAATTTATTGAGCGTCAAACTGGCAGGTCATCTGTAAATTATTTTGCCAATTAACATATATGTTCATTATGCTGTTAAAAATGCAAAAACCCAGTTAGGAAGTGGACTAGATAAGGATCTGGCCAGTGACATATATATGTCACAAGGTCAAACCTAAAAATGATGTGAAATACACAACACTCTATATTTTTACAAAAATATAAACTCTTGATAAAATGATGGAATATTCCAACAAAACACTTGATCTGTAATTTCAACAAGGTTTCAATAAGGTTTCAATAAGTATGACAAATGCAATGTTCAACCAGATCATTAGTGTATTTATTCACAGAGGTATTTTTTTCTTGTTGTAACTTCCAAGTTACAGTATTTTTGTTGAACCTTTTCCATTTGAGTTCCTTTTGGCTAGCAGTTGTTCATTAATCCCAAATTTCTAAAAAAAAAGCAATTGTGCAGATTGCCAATGTCACCCTGTCTCCAATGCAGAGTTGGGATGTTGTAAAAGCCCTTCATGTGTTCTTGAAGTCCTAAACTCTTTGTACTGTAGATGCATCTTTGATTACCATTGACCCTGTTCCTAAATAAGAGCCTATCTCAGTTTGTCCAATATATTTCCTGACTCTCTTTCATCCAGCCCAGTATAGAGTACCCCAACATTGCCCTTGGAATACAAATCAAGAGATTAAACTGGCCAGGTGGTCCATTTGCTCAACTTCTTCTCAATAAAAAGTGGTGTTGGCCTGGTACTATAAGATTGGGCGTTGACGTTTTGAAATGTAATGGTCATTATGAGTTGTAGTACAGGGGACCATCTGTGTCACAATTTCCTTCAGAACCTATGGAATGGTCTGACACAATAGCAGATAGTAATTCACAAAATGGGCTGATGATGATCCAACACCATGAGCAATTTTTTTACCACACTTTCTTCAGAAAACGTCACACAAACATAACATTGATGACAAAGTTAGTCATCAAAACAACGAACTTCAAGTAGGAATCTCAATTTATGAGAAATTCTGACATGCCACTAGTGGAGCAATTGACATAATTAAGTTGATGGAGCCATTCATTATTTGTTAGGTCAAAAGTGATCCCTTGTGTGTTGTGCTTACCCTAGGCCATCATTGAAGGGCCTTTCATTTACTTTTCCTCTAGGAAAGAAGGTTTTGACAGGATGTTGCCACTTAATAATAATAGTTGCTGACAATGCTCTGCCCTAACTATGAATCTGGTTATCTTAACAGGACAACCAGTGCAAATAACTGTATGGTCCTGCATGTCGCATGGCTTTTGCTGCTAGAACAACAAACTAAAAGCATGAGCCATTTTAAGGTGACCTTCTGTTTGTGTACATCACGCAGCATCCACAAGTACCGTTTCAAATGTGCTTTTGCAAGTCGGTGTGGGTGTGTTTCTGCTTGCAGGCACATTTTTGCAGTGTATAATATGTACATTTTTTATGTAGAGAAACAGCTGTATCTACATACATAGCCATCACCTTTGTCTCTAATTACGCAGCAGGGTATTCAGGGCACAGACTGTGATCACAAGATACCTCAAATAGATTTTTAGATTTTTAGAAAATAGATTCTTCATGTGAATGGTCCCTAAGTCTGTTGATGAATTCATTGTATTTAATTTGTGTCTTGTCTAAAGAATTCCCTTTGTTCAAGACAAGCAAGACACTTCAGTATAATATAGGAGTCTTTTTAGAAAGGACTGCAATGGAGATTTTGGGAACCTTTTTAATGAGTACTTTTTAAGCAGATTTCTTTAAAAGAAACTGACCTCTAACTTGCTTGTAATAATGAAAACAATTTATTTCATAGTTGCAGCAAAAGTTCTTCAGAATACACACACAATCCAGTCAGAAGGATCACCTGTTGAAGTAACTGTTTCTCCCTGTACAGTAGAAATTGCTGAGCAGCACAAGTTGCTGTCCATTGAAACAATATCACCATCTACATCAAGCAGTGATAGCTTCATTGTCCTTGATAAAGAAGAGGATGAGGTGGAGAGTGATACTTTAAGTTTTTTGAAAGCATATCCACAGGTATGAAGTATTAAATTGTCTTCTAAACTGTAGACCTATCATTCATGCTATTTCAAATATCCTGTAAGTGATGTAATTAATTATGTTTACAAAATGCCATGTTCTTTCTTGAAGTCAGAAGTGTCCTTAATGTCAGATTTTTAAATGTCTCAGTTTTTTTTATACATGAAAGAAATGTTTAATTTCTACAGAATCCACAGTCCCAGCTTCTCACAGAGAGAGACATTGAGAACCAGGACACAGTTAAAGGAACAGATGGCAAAACCAAAAACCAGTACATCTATTTTGACCATTTGGCAGAAGGTCTAACTGGGCTAAATCCAGCTGGAACTTTACAACATGGACACATAAATAAACCAGATGGAAAGCAAGCAGAGACAAATATGGTCAAAAATGAAATGGATCAGTTTGAAAGGAAGAGAGGGAATGATGGCACACAAATGTATGTACATGTATCAGGCTGTGGTACTGAGGCAGAATCCTACATGGACCAAGAAAGTGGAAAAACATACAGCTGTGGTGGGCATAACAAAGATAAAATACAACAGTCACATCTGTCTCAAGTCTTGCATCCCCATTTGCTTCTTGCAAGAAGAACTGATGGTGGTAGCCATGCACATGAACAACAACTCACGCTGAGTTCCATGCCATTTCGGTCACTAACACAGAGTGAAGAGTTTCGGTTAAAACCAGGTCATTCACCACCTCCTGCAGAAATGTACATATCAGGCTATGGTATTGATGCAGAATCCCATATGGAGCAAGAAAGTGGGAAAACATATATCAGTGGTGGGCATAACAAAGATAAAATACAACAGTCACATCTGTCTCAAGTCTTGCACCCCCATTCGCTTCTTGCAAGAAGAACTGAGGGTGGTAGTCATGCACATGAACAACAAGTCATGCTGAGTTTGATGCCATTCCGGTCACTAACACAAAGTGAAGAGTTTCGGTTAAAACCAGGTCATTCACCACCTCCTGCAGAAATGTGCATATCAGGCTATGGTATTGATGCAGAATCCCATATGGAGCAAGAAAGTGGGAAAACATATATCAGTGGTGGGCATAACAAAGATAAAATACAACAGTCACATCTGTCTCAAGTCTTGCATCCCCATTCGCTTCTTGCAAGAAGAACTGAGGGTGGTAGTCATGCACATGAACAACAAGTCATGCTGAGTTTGATGCCATTCCGGTCACTAACACAAAGTGAAGAGTTTCGTTTAAAACCAGGTCATTCACCATCTCCAGTGAACACTGACCTGCCAGAAGTTCACCAGCTGGGAACTGGTGCCAAATATGCTGCTGCAGAGGAAAGAATGGGAAAAAGTTCTCTTCCAAATTTGTCATGCAGTTCTGCAGGGCATACTGATGACAAGAAAAGTGACAGAGGGAATCCAGAGCAACCACAAAGCACAGCTTTTAGGGAATACGGAGAAAACAGTCAAGCCCAGACACAACCAGCCACAACACAAGACATTGAGGAAGAATTTGGAAGAAAAAGATCGACAGGGCATACAAATATTGGTCACCTGCATCCAAACACCAACCTTACTGATAGCAACTACATTTTGACCAATGAGGATCCTGTCCAGAGCTCTGGTCACACACATCACCACGAATACAGTCAGCCACCTCCCATTGCCCGTTCTGAACCCCATATTCAGCAGGATCCTGGTCACTCTGCAGGTGGTCATGCTGGTCAAATTCATCAGTATGGAGGGCCGCAAGAAAAGATGACCATTCCAGGAGATGTACGTGATCCACAGTCAGGGCAATCTTCCCCATGGCTTCTTCACTCTCCTCCTAGTGGTGATCAAACCAAGCAGGTGCCCCATATGACACAAAGTATACATATACCAAAGATGAGAGAGTCAGCAGATAGAGGGAGACAAAGTGATTTACCCCCACAAGCTGAACAAGGTAAATTGATTCAGATGTTATCAAAGACCATGCCCTCCATGGCACAGCTTGGTTCTCAGCTTGGCCTTACAGAAGAACAAATGAACCAAGAAGGCATGGCAGCTATGTTGCTGCACCTAGCTAATGAAAATGCAAAGCTTAAAGCACAGCAACTACCAGATTGTGATGAAGATACAAAGAAGTCTGTTGCAGAAGAGGAATATCTGCCCCATCGCCAGCATGAGAAAGGTTAGCATTGATTTTGCAAAAGAAGGAGGTCAGCAACAGATTGGCACTGAAATAGTTTTTATAGCCATGTACAGGTTTTAGAAATTGTTTTTAAAATGGAGTCGAACCAAAGATGTTACAATGTATAATGACAGTGCCTTAGTACATGTGCCTTTCCCATTGGTTAACAGCCATTTCTTACTAACAAAACCTTAAAAATTTTGTGGTGCAAAATTAACTGAGTTTTGGCCTTTTTTGGGGACAACTGTTCAGTCATCAGACAATTATTCACTTAGAAATATATAAAGGGTTACTTTCTGGAGTCTTGAAGGCTAACTGCAGGTGCGTACGGAAGCCATCTTCCAGGGTCTTTCGGAAAAGGGTCAGAATTTTTCAAGTGTACATTGACAGGCATGTTTTTTTTCTGTCGGAAGACAGATTAAAATGGAAGATGGATCAACAAAAATAATTTGGAAGACTGTCAGATAATATTTCTGGATTTGCCCCTGAACTGATTTGAAAGTGTTCATTAGCAGCATGTAGGATACAAGCTAGATAGTTTAGCAGCATTTTGTTGTGATACGTCTCATTTATATTATATTTATAGTTGTAAGTAAAATCTCAGAATAAATCAATTCAGATATTTTGAGATTAAAAAACAATTGGCATATTTTCAGTGGTAGAGGAAAGAAGTACAAACGCCGAGTTAGCAGATCCTGGCAGAAGTATTTTAGTTGAAGTCACTATGTCTGGACCTGCAGAATGTTTTGAGGAAGAAGAGCTGAAATTCTTGTTTGAAAATGCCAAACGTACTGGAGGGGGAGATATTGACAAGTTTTATTTTTACCGTGATAAAAAGAAACTTATCATTAGATATGAGAAGAATAAAGGTATGTTTTAGTGAAGTAAAAACTGACAGCACTTATTTACAATGAATGAGGATTGATCGTTAATGCCAAGAATAATAAACTTCAAATTTATGAAAAATCAATGACAATTAAAGTACTTGAAAGACTAGAGTTATTATATTGAAATTTTTGTATGAAGATTAACATGTTTTTCAGAAACCCTTTATGGATTTCATCTAATTTTCACCTAGACATATTCACTACTGAAATCTGTCAGCAATCCAATAACCAGTTTAATTCATTTTAACATGTGAGTTAGTGTTTACTTATACTTTTAAGTATCCATATCATTTTTTTTATTTTATTTAAGATGATAAGAATGGTAAAATTGTTATCCAATTATATAAATTTCAGATGCACAAGGTGTTTTGAAAAATGGATCTTTTGACTATAAAGGGGTAAAATTTACCCCCATATTGTTCCAGTCCCCAAAACCAATGCAGCAGCATCAAAAGCATGTCCAAGAGCATTCCCACAGTGCAACTGCTGCAGGCTTGGAGCATTCTGGAGGCCCCCCTTCAGANAATATTCGGAGGCGGTTTCGCCTCTCTGATCCTCTAGTTAAAAGCTGGTGGTGATTATGCTGTTAAACATTATGTAACATTGCATCAAAACTGACAAAAACCCTATTTACTGCACTACCAATGCAAGCAGTATGAAAGGAGAACTATGTTACTCAAGCTTTCAAGAATGGTTTTTAGGATGATTAAAATACAGCTTTAGATGTAAAAGCAGCCAGATTAAATTCTTTTTCTTGAAGCCATGCAGTTTTTTTCTTGTAAAGTGTTCACAAAACTATTAAAAGCTACCATCTGCACTAGATGACAAATTTGTCAGTATACATGCTGCTGCACTCAATTATTCTGTTAAGAAAGAGGCATGTTTTGGTAAAGAGTCAAATTTGACATGCGCATAGGGTAGTTAATGCAAATTGATACTGAAATACTTAACATAATTTGAATTCAAGGGAATAAAAAATCTGTCAAATTCTCTGTTTTCATCATAATGCAAATTTCAGTTATAGAATACATGAGGTAAAGATTTCTGCTAAAATAATGATCAATACCCATTGTCAAGTTTCATTTTTCATGTTTAAAAGATTATTCTTTTCATATATATGTGCTGCATTAAAATTAATTAATTTGTGTTTGACCTTACAGGAATTTGTGTTTGATCTTACAGGAAATGGTCCAAATGTTCCATTTGAAATTCAAAATTTAGGACCACAATTCCTTAAGTTGTATCACAAAGCTCTGAAGGAAGGTAAAAGTAAAGTCTGTCGTATAAGACTCATGGTGCTGGGACACTATGGAGCAGGAAAAACGAGACTTCGAAAAGCACTACTGAAACAGTGTTATTATCCAAAAAATGACCGTGAAACCAATGGCGTCGAAGTTGATCCTAATGTATCAACCGTGTCCATAAACAGGTGTTTGTCTTGGGATGCTAATGGTATGTAAGGTGACATGTTTTATTTTATCCTCTCTCCAAGCAAACACACTCACAGGGTAACACACACACACGCACACGCACACACGAACCAAAAATAGGGCTGCAATTGTAGGAATGTGAACAATTGTGTATCAATTATTAGCAATTTCTTAAAATAGGTGCATGAAATATAAACATATACAAGCTATATTATATATGTTACATACATATTTCAGATGAAGAAGATGACTTTAAGCATTCACTTATAGCTGAAGCCATTATAGAAAGTAAGTTTTTTTGTGAAAAGACTTAAAATTATAAAAGGAATTTTACAGGTGTGCTTTTAAGATTGTTCACAGTACACATCAATAAGTGTATACATTATCAAGTAATGAATTAGCTTCTAGTAGAAGATTTAATGTGGATAGCAGATATTTTAAAAAATTGACATTACATTTCATTTTAGTCATCTATAATAGTCATATATAAAAATTTATATAATTTATATAATCTATAATATATAATGGATATTTTCATTTTCACCAAATTGAATGTAATGTGTATTAAAATTGTTTACAGGCCTTCAGGATGATACTTGCAGTGAAAAAGATGACATTCCTGTATTGAGTGATGAGTATATTTTACATGACCAGGCACCTGAATTGGAGTCTAATATTTCAAGACTACCTCAAGAGTCAGAAACCTGTGTGATGGCACACTCTGCAGAGATGGAGTCAGGTGAAAATCCAGATAAAAATTTGTCAAAACAGGCATCAAGTCTTGAATCTGATCTTGAATTTGACATTGATCAGATTGACATTTCAGAAGATACTAAGGAGATCCATGAAGCAGTAAAGAGATTATTTGCAAGCCAAGGTAGTGTGGAAAGAGATGAGTGCAAAGTTCAGCTTTCAATTTGGGACTTTGGGGGCCAACATGTGTATTACACTACTCACCAAACTTTCCTGTCCCAAAAAGCAATATATTTAATGGTATTGGATGCCAGCAATGAACTTGATGAAGTGATATCTACCTACAAACAGTCCTCTGAGGGACCAGTGCTTGACAAAACAGTGCCACAGACTGTAAAGGGTAAAGATTGATGTTTGTCTATTAATGGATTTTTATGATGTTGGAAAAATCCTTTGTGTCAGTGTTTAAATTCAAGAATTAAATATATGATTAAAAGTTATTTATTTGAAATTTCTTACATGATAACATACATATAATCATGGCCCTAATCATTAATGACGTAAATTGATTTGAAATTTAATGAATTTTTATTTTAAGGTCTTCAGATATGAAGTTCCATAATTTCTGTATTGTGTACCAGTTCTGTTAATTCTGGACAATTCTGTCTTCCTCAGAACACAGCGACTACTGGTTGGATTCTGTCCACAGCTTTACCACTGGTCAAACTGTGGACGAAAGTGAATGTCCACCTGTGATTATTGTTGGTACCCATAAAGATGAGCTTACAGAAGCTGAGGTAATGGTGTAAATATAATGAAAATTTTTAATGTTCATCATATTAGAACCTTATATAAATGCAGTTTGTTGTGTGTAGATGTATACATTTTGGTGCTATCTAGTCTTGTATTTATATTTGTGTGTGTGTGTTTTCTTTTTCTTTTCTTTTTTTCCCTGTCTTAGGCATACTTCAGAATTAAGTAAATAGTAAATCATTGACTTGTCTGCAAATGTTGACAAATGCTTAGACTATGGTAGTAATATTGTCTTGTGGACACTGTGTCATTGACGTGGGTACTCTGTTTTATGTAGAACCCTGGGGTTGCCAAATATGAAACTGGACATGATCAAATTGTTATTTATATTCATATTTATACCCAAGTAAAACATTAGTTTTGATTGTACAATTCTTTTTTTCTGCAGGAAGAACCAACTGCAGTGTGCTTTTTTATGAAAATATTTTGAGCTAAATTTTGTTATCTTATACTTATTTCCAGGTTGAAACATTTTGCAAAAATGTACGGCAACATTTGAAAGGGAAGCACAGCCACAACCATCATGTTTATAACAAGAAATACTTCGTGGTCAACGCTACTGATGAAAATGATCCTGAACTGAATGCCCTCAAAGAGTGTATAATGGACATTGCCAGAGAACAGCCTTATTGGGGAGAAGACCATCCTTGCAAGTGGCTAGAATTAGAGTCTCAACTGCGCAAACAAAGCAAGAAAAAGGTTATGAAGCTGGATGATGTCTTACAGTTAGCAGGGAAAGAACCCATATCCATGACAGACCTGACAGAAGTCAAAGCATGTCTAGTGTTTCTTCATGCTTTGGGAGAGGTGATCTATTTTGATGAAAAAGGACTTGAGGACGTTGTAATTTTAGATCCACAGTGGCTTGTGAATGCTTTTCGCTCCATCATAACTTTACCTAGGTATGAGGATCGCTCTCACAATACACATGAATTCTGGGATAAGCTCCATGAAGAAGCCATCTTGGATGAGAAATTGGTCAATGCAGTTTGGAGAAACATGGTCCGTTGTGACCCTGCTCTTTATGAAAACAAGATGGCAATTTTGCATGTCATGGAGAAGTTTGATATTATCAGTAAACATCCCAAGTGCAGCAAGTCTGGTTCTGCCCAGTATTTTGTCCCCTGTCAAGCCAAGAAGGTCCAAGAGGAAACACCAATTTGCAGCCAAGATAGGGATGTTCTTCAAACTTCTTTATGTTATGAGTCCCAACAGAAATTTTTCCCAAACTGTCTATTTCATAGGCTAGTAGCTGCTTGTCTACACAGATATGAACTATACAATGGTTGTCTACATGCCAACTGTGTGCGACTGCAATTGGATCCTGCTGCCATGCTTGTGCTCACCTTGTGGAAAAGACCATACAGCATCCGTCTTGAGATGGAGGATTCAAACAAGCCCCACTCCTCTAAAGATTTGTATGTTGCAGCACGGAAATTCATTGAAGAACAACTGAAGAAGGTGGCCAGATTATATTGTCCCAATCTTTGCACCAGTTGTCTTATCTATGATCCAGGTTGTAAGAACTGGGCAAAGTTAAGTCCAAGTATGGTGGACTCCATGTGGAAGTGTCCTTGCATAAGATGCTCTGCCTGCAATCGTGTATTTTCTGTGGAACATTATCACATATGGTTTGAAGAACCAAAGGAGGAGGTTTGTATACAAAACTGATCATATAAAATCAATGTATAAAATAAACTGTTTTTTAAAGAATTTTTAGAAATAAAAACCAACAGTACAATCTGTAAACTGTTTAAGTGATTTAAGTCTCTAGTTTTAGAGTCAATATTGCTTTGGAGGGAGAAACTAAAGGGTGTATTTTCTTAATTTAAAGAAAATAAATGTTATAGTTAAATATATTTTTCAGGCATATTTTTGCTGGAGGTTCTAGTGTAAATTTATATTTCTTTTCCTCATTTCATGTGTACTTTTGACCAATTTTTTTTCAAATTGCTTTTACAGAAAATAGCAGGCTCTTCTAAACCAACTAAACGGCTGCACTTTGGCCAGGATTCTCAAATTATGGGAAATGCTCCTAAATGTGCTTGCTGCAGCAGTCAAAAGTCCCTGCCACTCTCCTCCGGGTCCAGCAATTCAGAAACCACTGCCAACTCTTCAAAAAAGCCCATAAAAACTGGTAGAAAAAGGTCTGAAGGAAATACCTTGAAAAGAAGGGGAAAAGAACCAAACCCCAATCCTGTTCATAAAATAGGAAGGTTTTCTTCTAGCGAGACAACAGGAAAGGACAGAAATACAGTTAAAGATGCTAAAAGAAAACGAGTTTTAAGTGCCGAAGATGCAGAAGAAGAACATTGTGTCCCATGCAAGAAGAGACAGGCTACATCAACTGGTACCAGCAGGTACAAAAGCAAGAGGGTCTCCTCTGGAATAAGTGGGCGTTTGAAGAGAGTTGTATCTATGAAACAAGATAAGACAAAGAAGGAGTCAACACCAAGAGGGGGTAGTTCTGGCAGGCGAAGAACTGCTACAGTGACACAGGAGGGTGGCCCCGAGATTATTCCACCTGTGAAGTATGCTTGTAAAACTACATCAACAGCAAGCCAAGGAGGTACATCTATACAGAGGGAAGTCTATAATGAGAGATATACTGTTGAAACCCCAGTCCATACTCAGGTACCAGTTCAAGGGCATTTTCCTCAAGTTCATGGTCAGTCACCTTTGCTAGTTCAAAGGTCAATTTTCCCGCAAGGTCAAGGGCATTCCTCTCTTCAAGGTCAGTCATACCCACAAATGTTCCAAAGTCCAAGTCGACATGAATTCAGAGAGCATAGATATCAACCACCAGAAGAATTGAAGAACTATAAATTTATCAGTAAAAAACTTTCAGATGAATTAAATGCCGCATTCCAGCAAGATGAAGTGTGGGACGCAGTTTTGGGATATACCCATTATCCAGAACCAACCATCCCCAGTGCTGAGGATTTGTTTAGACCAGATGGGCCATCCAGATTTGACATTGTCTTCTGCAAGGTGAACTGCTCTCTGAAACATCTGTTGAAGCTGGTGAACTTCTTGAGTCAAGAGTGGCACGTTTCTTTGGCTGTTGTCATGGAGACAAAGGTTGGTATTGCCTAATTTGCTGTATTGGTTAATTCCAGTTTTTATGTGCAGACACAGTGTACTTTATCAGTGATAACGCAATAAGTGAAACCCCTTAGCCTCTTGTCTTTGAACAGGACTGATGAATATTAAAAATCAGATCAAGTTTGAAATTCGGCTTTATCTGACAATTTTTGAAAAGGGAATGCCTTTTTTTCCTTTTTTTAGCATATATTGTACTATGACATTGTGCAATTATACAGTTAACACATTTAACAATTGTTTGACCAATTGTTCTTCAAATAAGACTGATGAATATATTGTAAATTGCAGCTTGATTTTGAAAACCAGTCTAATTCTAATCTATTTAAATATTCTACCTTTTTTTTCATTTTTCATAAATTGGCAATTAATTATTTCATTGTGTGAATTTGGGCCTATGAGTTACATTTTTGTCATGTTTACATTTACAGTAGACAGCACATAAATTGGTGTTGATCATGTTGTTAATGTTATATGAACATTAAGAAAAACCGTAGGACCTGTTTAACTAAGCTGACGTTAGTTATTCAAACTAAAGACAGAAGTATCTCACTGACAAGAAGACTTAGTGATTTTCGAGTGGTGTTTCATGAAGCTATCATTGTTAAATTGATTGGTTGTAAGTGGCAGTAGTATTAGGTGCGCATGATTTTCCATTTCCATGTAAAAGAAGCATCATGGTGTTTGCTGAAAGTGATTTTAATCTGTTTTTCAGGTATGTAATAATAGGGAAGCCGAGTTTGGATGTCTACGTAGGAACAAAACATTTGTCAAAGAAAATATCTGCAACCCAGTTCGTTTGTTGGATTATTTGTATGAGAAGGATGTAATAGGTGAAAACCAGATGGAAGAAATTAAAAAGGCTGATGAAATATCACCTCAAGAAGCATGTGATGCTTTGATCGAGGCACTATTGTCCTGTGACTGTACTAAGGATCCAATGTGGCACTTCAAAGTGGCATTGAAAACCACAGGTCAAGGTCACATTGCAGACAAACTTGTACCTAAGCGCGATTCTAAGGAGAATAAAAAATCAGTGGATGCAACATAATCAATCAGCTTTAATGCAAGATTATTTATGTATTTAAACATTATGTATTTATACAAATATATAATATATGCACTTTTTTTTAAAGCAAAGTACAATCCAAATTGTATGTGTGATATTTAAATAAAGCCAATGTGCCAGTTGTTTCCATCCATAAAATTTGTATAGTTTGGTAAATCATGCATTTTTTTTAAATGTTTATATTTTTGACTGCTGTCATTTGAAGTTATTTTTAGTGGTAACATTGATCACCAAAAGATGATTTTGGTATAATTTTGCATTTTTAGAAAAAAAGGTTAAAATTTTAATAATGATATAAACTTTATTTTTTCATGCAAGTTATTTGAGATTCCAATTAAACCAATGCATTTTAGAATTAATTGTGCCATTAGGTGTGCTTTTTGCAATTTTGCTGATGGATTAATATATTAATATATAAATGTTCTTTTTTAAACCGTACTTTATTTCTATTTTTAACCTATTCCAGGATTTATTTCATTAAATGAGCTTTTGTTTATTTGCTGATGGATTATATAATGTGGCTGTACCTTATATGCATATATTTAACCCATTTCAGAATTAATATCATTGGATGCACTTAATTCACTGATGGATTGTTTGTACTATGAACTGTGCATTTGTATGTATATAACTATGTATTTATGTATAATTGGGTAGATACAGCAGGTGTATCATCCAGTTACAGTTTGAACGCGATATGTAAATTTATAGAAAAACAATTGGCATACCAGAATTATATAGAATGACTCCATTAAATTTCGGGACATTGCGTCCGCCTATGTCATCAGGTGACTGGAGATTCTACACGCAAGGACCCTTAATTTCTTTGTGCAGTCGCAGTGACCGCTATCGGAGCAAACAAGCGACTCCTGGATAAAGAACATATTGTAAACTGCAACTGCTAAATAGCTAGAGAAACTAAAACTTACCGCATTCATGTAACAGTCAGCAATTGTACTGTTGATCCTTGCTTGAAGTTGTGCAGAATCTGTCACTGTACGCTTCAACAGATCGAGTGAACTGCTGGAAAGTTCTCATAGAGGTAAAATGAAATTTTTTGAACTGAAGATTTCAGTTGCAGATTTGAGATAACTTGTAGCTTAATTGTATCATGCTCGTGAACAGAATGAATCAAGCAAAATGAGGCCAGGCAGTGATGCCCCATGGTATAAGTAGCAACATGTGCCTCTAAGGAGATTACCCCTCTAGGGCACAATTGAGCATGAGCAGAATGCACATGTGCTTAAATAAGCTCTCTGGAGATTGTTGTCGCCATAAAATGTCGTTTGACTACGCCAAACTTTCCTTTATGTATAATTGGGTAGATACAGCAGGTGTATCATCCAGTTACAGTTTGAACGCGATATGTAAATTTATAGAAAAACAATTGGCATACCAGAATTATATAGAATGACTCTGCTCTGAGAAATGTGCATGTAAAAGGCATCTTTTTTATTTCAAAACTTAGACTGCATTTCCACAGATTTTAGATCAATCTATCCCTGTGGAAAGCCAGCTTAAATGTCTGTCCCGCCTACTAAAAGCTGTAAGGGGGTAATTAACTTTCGTGCACACTCAGCTGACAGCAATGCATTTAGCGTGAACTCCCAGGGAGTTAGGTAGATCCAGATGGATCAATCTTAATCTGTGGGAATCCAGTCTTAAATATTAACCTTTAACTGTTAGTATAATAATTATAGGAAATAGTAACAAACTTTCTTCATTTATACATGTAGCTACATTTATTCCACATAGAAAATTACATAAGATATTTTAAAAACAATTATTGGTTTCACTGTGAAGGGAAAATTAGTTCAAGGCATGATCTAGTAAAAAATTGGTCTCGGGTAATCTGATTACTTCCATTCAACTACATGCCATTGGTTAGTTATTCAATACCATTCAATACAGCAGCAGCATTGTACAGACTTGTTACACATAAACTAAGAGACCATTCCCAGAAACTGTCATACTAACTTAAGATCGATATGTCTCCAAAGGGATTCTCACTGCTAATTGCTATCAACTTAAGCGGCTTAAATGTCCATCATGCCTACTAAAGCTGGTAGGGGGTATTTAACTGAGCATACACTAAAGTTAATTAAGTTAATTACCCCCTAGTTGATTCAGTAGGCTTGACAGCTGCTTAAATTGATAACAATTTAGTGTGAATTCCCATGGAGTTAGAACGATCCAGTTGGATTGTTCTAGGCATGGGAACCCAGTTTAAAATCTGAATTAGGGAGCATCCCATGAGTGCAAACCTCTGCCAACAAAAAGGCAATGAAAAACTTTTTAAAATATCATCAAAACAACTCTTTTAGGTATCTTGTCCTATTACAAATAAAGCAATGACTGTTAAAACAGCTTTTTCTTTAGTGGATGTAATGAAATTAAATCTAGCTCAATCTTGGAATCCACACCCTTTGCATTTCCTATTTATCTGAAAGTCTGGACAATTTAATTTGAATTGTATACATGCCATTTAAGTGTTAATTGCTTTTCATTACCAAAACAATGGGATATTTAGTTTTCTTTGCCCAGGTCCATCAATTTTTGGCATTGGTCGATCATGGCCCTTTAATCTGCGGTTGGGGGAACAGTTGCTGTGAAAAAAATGAAACAATAAATTCTATATTGAATACAACTGAATACAATTTGGCCTTAGTTATTGCTTTTTGTAGAAACTGAACTCCTTCCATTTTGAATATTAATTTTTTTATTGGGGGGGGGGGGCTGTCTTCAGATGAATTAATCAATGGTTGTATTGTACTGTATCAGGACATGATCATGGTATAAAAATAACAAAATGCATAATTCTATTGGAAAAAGTAAAAGTGCTGAACAGGCCTACTGAACTTATGTGGCATCTCACTCAACCAATCTTTCCTATTGAAGGTCAACATGATGAGTCGGGCTGGGAGGTCAACATAACATACTTGGCACCACAGCAAAGCAGCCTCAGACCTTATAAACAGATTAGGCATTTACAAACACTACCCACAGATCTTTTAGCACTAACACCCATATTAACCACATAAACCACAAATTAACCAGCACTACCAGAGCAAATGAACTTTATTGCTAGGTATCACTTTGTTGGTGGTAAATAATTGTATGGTGTGCTGGTTAATTTGTTTTGTGGTTAATATGGGCATTAGTGCTAAAAAATCTGTAGGTAGCGTTAGTAAACACCTAATCCATTTATAAGGCCTGAAACTGTCATCTGTCTCCAGAAGGTTATATTAGTCTCAAAAAGTGTATTATATATTTATGATAAATTAGCTATATACACATAGTTGTTTAAAAAAACAAGTGCAGCTGCAATTATGTACATATAAAGTCATTCATTAAAGCAATAAGTTACTAAGTTAAAGAAAAGAACAAACTACAATTACTTTAAAATATTATATGAACAATAATTAAATGCAATATCCTATACACATGGTTTTCATGTGAATTCCATTTTAATGATAAAAGTGCCCTATAGGAAGTACAGGCATACAATGAAACGGAGATACTTATACAGTAGAAAAAATCATTTTCCTGGAAATTTGCAACTCTTCCCATGACCACCATGTCCAAATTTGTTGACATAATTACCACCTATAATTTTGTTTTTGATTCCAACTTTTAAAGAGACTGGTATATTCCCATGACCTGTAGCAAAAATTTTAGATCTCGAAAACCAGTTGTCAACAGTTATGGATTTAAAATACCTTGGTGAAGGGAAAGTTAATGAAATTTTTATTTTATTTCTGTAATAGTGATTATTACTTTTGATAATTATATGCCTTAAATGTAATGTTTTCTTAGCCGATTTATGAAGTGGCACTTTCAACAAAATATATCACCTAACATAATGCACTTTTTAAATTAAAAAATTTCTCTACAACCAAACCTTAAACCCTTTTTACAGTAAACTTTGTGCCATCTCCGAATCACTAAAACCACATCCAAAACAATCTGAACTACAAACAAAATACAAAAAAAAAAAAAAATCTTCACCATTTGAATAATTTCAAAAAGTACTGAATGGCCATCCCTATCATTCAAAAACTTTCACGCCTATGTTTTAATCTGTCAACTTCATTTATTTATATGTTAAGCTTTATTTAATGCAGAGATTATCTTCACTCATAATTAATATTTAAAACTTGCAGACATAATAAAATGAAATTAAATATTAAAAGTTAGAGAAAAATACTTGTTAAAAATGTTCAAAGGAAACCTGCCTTGTTACAATTTACTGTACATATTTCTACATATCCACTGTCAATTATATCTAGAATATTTTAAAAATTCAATTCACTTATTTAGCAAAACACTTCACTTCAAACTGTCCAGTTAAATAAACTGTTCCTAAAATATGGTCCTACAGATTGACAAAACCTACAAAATTAATAAAATTTATGATAAATTTGGTTATTTTTATTACAGTGCTTAAGAGAGCACAGAGTGCTAGGAGTAGAGGCATGAATTTTTCACAAATGAATGAAAAATTACAACTGGTGAAACATCCATATTGAAAAAATCACAAAAAAAAGCATTTTGAGAGATTAAAAAAATCTTGAAATTAGGTCTGTAACAATCATATAGTAATGAAATACTATGACACATCATTACATAAAATTGCAAGCAAGGCCCAACATTTTTTAAAATTAGAATTTATACTTTAAACATGGAGGGGATTTTATACATCACCACTATTCTTGTTCGGTAAAAAATATTCTTTGCCTGTGGTTATAGGAAATTGTTCGTACCTGAATAAAGCACATTTTGGGACTGATTAAGCATGTGAATTTAAAATCATGATGTTTCAATTTTTAACCCCATCAGCTGCACAAGAGCCATGACTAAAAGAGCTGGCTTCGAACTTTACCCCAACAAAGAAAAATAATCATAATTATTGATCTGTAAAGCAAGATTAGAGACAGTGTTAGAGAAAATGGAAAATGTGAATTTAACATGGGGTATCCTGGAAAAAGTATAAAAATCTAATTCTCCTTTTAACTGCCTAGTACATGGAATAATCTGTTGATTAATACTCAAAACCTATATGATGTAAAAGGATTTAGTCAAAACTGTTAACAATGCATCAAAACAAAAAGACTGGTAAATTTCAAAAGAAAGAAAACTTACGTGTTTAATTTTTTTTAAATCAATGTAGTTTCATGCAACATATATTTAGAGAGAAAAAATTAATGATATACATTTAACATTTAAAGTCAAAGTAGGAATATTTCACAGCACTAGAGGATATGAACATATAAATATTTTTCAACGTATAGTTCCATGCTTCTCCAATGTGGCTGGCCAGAAGATTTTGGTTTGTCATTCAAAAAAAAAAAAACATTTTTTTTCCGAGACAGCTCAGACACAAAACATGTCTCTGACATGATTCAACTGGTCACTTTTTGTGGAATAACCTTAGCCAAACTCCTCTGAATTTACATCAGTTTTATAACAATTTCATCCATCACTGTAATACTTACAGCATATAACAAACTTCACAACTTGTACACAGTTCAAAGACAAACATCTCAAAATAATCAAATGCCATTCAAACAAAACTAGTAGGTTACATTTATGTACCATCTTAACTCCTATCAAAAGATGGTTTACAAGGTTTTCTTCATGTTTGATAACAATGGCACACTTAAAATATCATTGAGCAAAGTCAAGTCACATATATCTATTCGGAAGTTAAACTGTGAAGGAAGAAGTATTGAAAATAGTTCAAATATAATCCAGGGTCTATACCCATGGTTTAAGCTTTGAACTTTGGCGGCAAACCAATGAGTCTGACTCTGTCACCTTAATAGCATCTCCCTGGAGTGAACTTCACAAAACAAAACACAGATGAAAGTTGGCCTTTTAAGACTCATAAAACTAAAAATGCCAGCCATTTTGACCATTGTATATCAGAGTAATTCTTTCTATCATAAAAGAGAAAAAGATAATTGTAGTTGTATTTTAAAGTATGAAATGGTGTATGTTTTGGACTATTAGTTTTTTCATCTTACCTATCATAATAACTTGATTATTCTAGTGGACTACTACTTAAGTTTAAGACCAGCTTTCAAACTTAACTCATTTTAAGTAATGCTTGCAAGTAGTTTATATTTATGCTGTTTAAACACAAACTATTAGCTCCATTCAGTCATAAAGGCGCATTTGCCATGGTATCAACTAAAACCGGATTCTGTAACAGATTTTCTTTCTTCGAGGCCATTTTTTTATGAGCTGAGCAGTCCAATGTTATCTTACCAGACACTAGTATAAATTAGTCCCACTGCGCCCCTTCTCTTTTGTGCAGTAAGAAGCAAGTCCTCATGTCCCCTTTGCCTTTAACAAATACAGTGCCCCTATGTTCGAACTCAAATTTGTCCTCTAGCATATTAGCAGTGCCCTCTGGAAGCTGTATTCTGCCAGGCATACCTGTGGAGTACATTCGGCTTGCGATGTTCACCGTGTCCCCCCATATATCATACAGAAGTTTAGATGTCCCAATGACACCAGATGTCACTTCACCGCAGTAGAACCCTATCGACAAGACAAACCCAAACTCCAGCATCCCTTCATTGAATTGCTGTACCACATGCTGCATTTCTATAGTGTAGTCTAGCAATGTGTACAAATGTGCATTGGGGTGCCGATTCTGCAACCGCGTCTGCTCATTGAGTCCTGATGCCACCATCAAGGTGTGCCCTATGGTCTTGATTTTTTCGACATCCTTAAAGCGTGAGTCTCCCAATAGTTCTTCAAAATTTCCGACAAGTTCATTCAACACTCGTAGGCATTCTCTACCTCCTTCGTAGGATTCGTCGTAAAATTCATGGAAGTTAACAATGCTGGCAAATATAACACCAACATTTTTGTGATTCTTAGAGTACTTCGATGTCTTCTTCAGTTGCTCAGAGATGTGCTCGGGAATGATGTTGTGCAGCAGCCAATCAGCATGCTTCTTTTCAATCTCCATGCGCGATCTGTCTGCTGATGCTTCCTCATCTCCATGGAAACCAAGACGGTAACTGACTTCAAACTCGCGGTTCAAAAACCACACCAAAAGCAGCAGTAGGGCCATATCCAGAATAATCTCAAAGCGAAGCTTATGTTTTCCTGAGAACAAGACATTACTGTCCAACTTGATTTGTGCTGTATAATTCTGCCAGATGGTCTCGTTATTGGTGAGATTAAAGGAACTTGAGGTCACATTGTACACGTTATGGTACTGGGATTCCGAGCACACACCAATCCCAAGGAGCAGAAGCAAGACAATTCCCACCAGACTGGCTAAAATCGACTTCATCCAAGAACTAAGCATTGTGAAATTACAGTAATGAAGGAGTGCCACCAGTAGCAGGTAGCAGTAGAATATAGCGTGTTTTTGTTGGTCCTCTTCCTGAGCACACGAGAAATTGGCATAGACCGCAGCCGCAGGAAGTGAGGTCAAAACAGCACCTAGAACGTGGCGCATGTACCAGAGGGAAATACAGCGACGGATGCGTTCTAGACAACCTCGAGCAGGAGCCTCAATGAGCACGTCCTTGATGTATGGAATCAGCATCACAACCTCGAACACCATGGCAACAACAAAGTAGGTCACCCATGGCATGGTAATTCCAAACACTATGAAACAACAGATAGAAATAGCCACCAGGAAGATAAAAGAGATCACCATGTCGATAAAAGCATTAAAACGCGGGGAGGCGAATGTTTTCACTTTCAGTTGCTGATTGTCGTCGTCTAAGTAATGTTCCCTGTAACGCTTCTCCAAGCCTGCTGTTTTGAAAGTTAGTGTACACTGGTTAATAGGAGGCTTGTAGAAATAATCGCTGTTATTTTCCGTGTCTTCTTGGATGTAGTGAATAAGCTGCTTGTCTGTCTGTTGTCGAAGCTGACGTGTTTTGGTGAGAGTCTCGTTGATGGGGACCATGGTAGAGTCTACCTCCATACCCTCTGTTAATGAAACAATTATCAAGATATTAAAACTGTGGCTGTACATCTTCAAAGCCACTGAAGGATAAGTTTAAGTCCTTTAAGACACATTTAAAATAGTAGTTTATACAACACATCTTACAAATATGTTAAAGTCTTTAAATGAAAATATCGCTAATGTCAGTTGTGTGTAATAATATAAAATCGTGCTATTCAGTTTTTAATAAATTTCATAAACAGGCTAGAAAAAGTAAAAATTAATGTCAACATATTTGAAACAAATCTTTTAGTACATTCAAATACCGAACATAAGGTCACATCATTTAAACAGTCTCATAAAGTTTTACATGAAAGAGAGTTGTTGTATATACAGAATTGCATATGAGGTAAGAAAATGTCAGTCTGCAAATAAACTGTGCTATGTACTATAAGTCTAGACAAGTCACCATCTCAGATGTGACTGAGTGAGGTGTGACATAATACCAGGGGCAGATCAAGAAATATTTTCTGACTTTCTTCAAAATTATATCTTCATTGATCCATCCTCCATTTTTAAAAATCTGACCGTCTTCCGGAAGACCCAGAAGACAAATTAAATCAAACCCTGATAATATCAAGGTAGAGCGTACAAACCTTTCTCCTCCTCTGCGATCTCCTCCAGGGACATCTCACTAATGGCAAAGAACCCGCTCTGCCTGCGCCCCAGAAGGAATGCTGGTGTGACTCCATTGGGCTAAAAAGGGAAATGAATTTACATTTTTTAGCGAAGACTTTAAGTGCATGCTATATTGGGAAATGAATATTACATAAGATAAGAGTTTATTTAGCCAATTATAAAAATCGGAAATCATTTTCCATTGGAAAATATATGGCAAATGAAAAAAAAAATATGAATATGTATCTGTTAAAAATAAAATTAGATAATTTTTTAACAGAATACAACCACATGGTCACGTAGCTTCTGCTGATATTGTCTTTCTTCAAACAAGTCTTAGTTTATCCATAAATCAATAAAGAGCCAACTATGACCAATATTTGATAAACATGCATGCAACTGCTCACATGTCAATACTTATACTTAAATGACGTTACCCGTGTTATGGCATGTCAGACTCCTGTAAATTAAAAAATACACTAATTCACATTGTTTGACCTGTAATGGTACACCTGTGTTGTCTATGAAATAGTCTGTCTCCAATATTCATCAACAAAGCTCACAACAATTTATCCATACTTACTGCTTGTGTGTCATTGTGAGAGTCTAAAATCTGTGTGCGGAGGCTGGGTCGACGTGGTTCAGAAAGATTCTGAAAGAAGAAAAAATTCAATATGTCACCTAGCTCCAAACCACCCTTACACAGTGTACTAGGTGTGACAACATCGCAATCCTATGGCCTAAGTTACTCAAATTGTGCTAGGTGTGACAACATCACAATCCTATGGCCTAAGTAACTCAAATTGTGCTAGGTGTGACAACATCACAATCCTATGGCCCAAGTAACCCAAATTGTGCTAGGTGTGACAACATCACAATCTTATTGCCTAAGTAACACAAACCGCATTAGGTGTGACAAAACTGCCTCATCAACTCACAGGACTATTCAACCCATCCACCACAATACTGTCAGCATCATGCTTGTCTTCAGAGATGGAGCTTCTACTCCCTGAGTGTTCACTGCTTGTGTTCAGGTTCGGAGTGGCTGGCTTGCTCTTGGGGCCAACTATGAAGTATGTTTTTATATCTGGAAATAACCATTCACAGTTGGGGTTACATTACATAAAGAATAAATATTCTAAAGACACGAGTGTTAGACTTTTATTTGGCAAAAAAAACAATTTCCTTGAAATTTCAATACTTTCTCTCACACCACTGCACAGCATATCCATTAGTTTTGACAAAATTTGTGCTGATTTTAAATTCTCTACATTTTAAAATCTTTCAGTCATTCTCAAATTGAAGACAGATACTGGTGAATTTCACTTGTAAAGCTAAAAATGAACATTTTCAATTTCCATTTAGAACACTTCCACGTCTTAATAGTTAACACTGTAACAATCAACCATTATACAACACAAGATCTGAATCATTACTATCATAAACTAACATATGGATCAGAAAAGAAACATAAATGAATAACATGAAAAATATAAGATCTAATAAATGTAAACCATATCATTGGTTATCACTGGGTGTGACTTACATTTGTCTGATTCCTCCATCTGCACCTGGAACTTGGATGTTTCACTGTCATATTTCTCCACTAAAAGTTTGGTTTTCCGTGTGTCTGTAAGAAAACAGAAACCAATGATTACAGATACGGTTTGTGTGATTAAAATATGGCAAAGAAAATATGCGTTTCATACATTTTTCAATGATCTTAGATAATTTTGAAGTGATTTTGATTAAATGATCACCACACTTCCTGTCAAAATATTCAAACCACCAAGTCTTTGTCAAAAAATATGGAAGATGGCTGTTCATTTGACTGTTGTTTCTGGTAACAACGGTATATTATAACAGTGCTTTGACACCTCTGTCAAAATGAAAACAATCCCAGAAAGGAGCTGCTTATGATTCAACACTTTTACAACCATTTCTTCCAAAATGTGGTAACACTAGAGAAAAGCAGAGGTTAACTTGGCCACAGCAGTAAATACACTAAACCCTGGGAAAACACTATAATTCTACAAATTCTTATTCTTAATCTTAAAACACAATCAATGTTATTATTACCACATTTTCCTGCCAAAGTACTAAATAATGCACTTCCCACAAACCCAATATACATGATAGCATGCTGTATATTGGGTTAGGGGGTAGCAGTGCATTATTTGCCATACATATGAAAGGACATTGTACATGTTTTTCACCCAAAACCCCTAATTTTGAATGGAATATGCTGATTTTGCCTCATTGATATCACCCTGTGTGTGTGTGTGTGTGTGTGTATGTGTGTGTGCATATAACACTTAAAAAACTTTGCTACAGCAATGAAAATATATATCTCGCTAATGCTTATCCAGGTTATGATCAGAGAGAGTACCACTGTCCCATTAGTTTAGAAACACGCATTGGCTAAAAATAAGGTTATAGATTCAACAAATACACGACTTTCATTAAATTCACTGTATTATTGAGTACATAACACTGCCAGTCATTGTTTTCCAATTCTCTCCTTCATTCAAATTGGGGGTGCTTTTTTCCGAGATTTCTAGAGAACGTGGCAGGAATGAAGATTTCATCAGTGCAAAAACGAATGAATCAAATGACTGCACACAGCAGGCATACAAAGGATGCTATAAAAAACCAAATCAATAAGAATTATGAGAGACATTTCCTTGATAAAAGCACCAAAACAGGAAGTTGTTGTAGACGGAATCTGCAATGTCTTTTACGGTTACCGTAATGACTCAAATTTTTAAACACTAACCCTTTTCCCCAATTTTGTACTTTTTAAGGCCTAATTATCTTTAGATATTCACAAGAATGGACATTCTGACATAAAGTCAACTTACTATTTTAAGATGTTTTTTAATCTTGGGAATGATTTGATCAAATTATCTGAATAATTACCACACACACACACCTCAATAAAAATATGCTCTGCTGCACTGATATAAAGGCTGCACCTACACATCCTTTCAATGTCATTGGACTAAAAATTCCTATTTTACTTGGAATTAGGCTACAGATTGCCTTGATAAAAACTGCTACATTCAATTTCCCCGAGTTAATAAACTGGGACAATTAAATACGTCAATATGAGGCGATTTAACGAGGAACCTGTCCCATTTCGATCTCCATGGTAAAAAGATGAGATTATTTCACATATAAAATCAAACTTCATTGAAAAATTCTGATCTCATAAATTAATGCAAGAAGGAAATCATCAAAAGTGGACGAGCTTCCATCAATAAAAAAAAAAAACAGACACAACAGAAAAAAACAGACTAATGTTTAGATATTCCACTGAAAGAGCAATCAGCTTATAATAATAGCTGCTTTGTGTTTCTTTCTTTGTATTCCCAAGATAGCTTTGTTTCCTGCTCGTCTTGCGTGCAGACGGATCCCATTTTCAGATAACTTAGTAATGAGTCTTAAATGGAAAATTAATGTGAACACCAGGTCTCTTTACAATCTAATCAACACTCAAGGGAATCCCTCCAGAAGACCTTCTGCTAATCAAAAGTATGCTGAATTGACTCTTAGAATGCCGTCGCCATGGAAAAAAAGGAAAAAAAACATTCAGAAAAAAACAATGTTAATCATGTGATGAAACATTTGATGACTTTTCCATTGGCAAGATTTATGCCCTTCGACAAAATCATATTTTCTCTCCCTCCGATGTTCATTTTGTTGTCCCTGGAGATTTCTGTTCTTTTTCTTCATTTTTTATCTCAATTTTCTTTTTTGTCCTTTCCTCCATTGACTTTTGCTTCATAAGCAATCAAATCTGTTGTTGAGCCATGGATAAAATTTTCATTTGTTGTCAAGGCAAACTAAGTTCAGAGTGTAATCAAAGAAAAACACAACTCATTTTGATAACACCAACAATGAAATGTATTTTCTATGACTGTATCCCCAGCAATAATGTTTTCACGATTGATTAAAAGGATAGTTCAATCTGACAGCACAAATAGAAAATCCAGGGAAGAATTTAATCAGCTATATTATATACTCAGTTACAATAAGTTTATTCAAAACAAACTTAAAAAGACCCTAACATACTAGACGGAATACAACTTTGTTATCAGAAATGAAGGTGGGCCTTTCAAAAAAATCCAGAAAATACAAGCACCAAAAGGCACACAGCTCTATAATGGAGATCTGGGGGGCAGAAATACAATACACGAATATCTGGATTCCTTTCATCTCCTTTTGTAGCTGTTGTTTTAAAGAAACTATAACAGAAAATGGAAATTATTTCATTAATTTTATGTATTTATCACAAATTAAGCAAAAAATTCAATCTTGTGTGGCTTAAACAAATGCTACGATCAGCAAGTAATCTATCTGTGCTTCCTAGTTTTAATAATCAGTCTGTCGTCAGATATCTTAACTTTTCATCTGAATTTCACAAAATATTGCACCAATAAACAGGTTACCATTAAGTAAGAAACATTTTCCTTTTTCACATTTCATTTTTTTTTTTTTTTAATCTGAAAACTTTCCTTTGCAACAGCGAACAAGCACTTTTTACTTAGAAAAAATATGAGGGCAGCATAAATCTCAGGTTTTTAGGATTTTTTTTCTGCATAACACTTGCATCTGCATGCTTTCTTCTCATCTATAATATATGACAGGAAATCTTTTGGCCAGTATTTGCATTACAAACATTCTATGCCTGGTTTCCCATTCTGGCAAGGATATATGGTAATTATTTAACATTTTCAACGCCTTTTTTGTGATTATTTTTCTTTTTTAATTTCTATTATTTTCAGACACTCAAAACAATGTCATATCAAGTCAACAAACTTTTCAAAACGTATGAATCAGTATTTATAAGTAATACTAACAAAACATCTTTGGCGGGAAAATAATAAATTCATGCTATTTGAATCTGATGAGTAATTACCATATATGTAACAGACATACCAGATAATGTTTCCTAGAGCTGTATTTGTAGCTTTACCTATAAAGGTACAAATTAAATTTTTTTTCTATTTTTTTCTTTTTTTACTTCACATTTTTTTTTTATTCATAGTGCTTATAAATAGATAAGGAAACAAAGGCTGCCTTCACAACATAAGATCCGCGGACTAACTAGAATCGGTTTTAATTAAGCTACAACTGCTAGGCCCCTGCAGGGGCGGTGCCTGTAGAAGGCAGGAAGATCGTCAGAGGGCATTGCTTTCAAGTGGGGTCAGCCATATCTAATCCACGGACTTTTTAGACTTAAGAATGCATTCAGAACAGCAGACTAATAGATCTGAGGATCAAATATGATGACCAACTAAAAAGCTTAATTTCGCTTAATTTCAGATTAGACACTGAATACATTTCCCACGGGAAATAAGTGACGAGCATTCAAGTGGGTCGGCCATATTTGACCTGCGGATCTGTTAGATCACTGATCTGAATGCGCTCTAAGTTTGTTGGGAACAATTTCCAATATATTTCCAGATATTTGATGCAGATCGAAGGGGTGAAATTTATCAGTTATCTGTTGAATACATGACAAAGAACTATCCTCATTATTTTTTCTAAGGCCAGTTTTGATTCATGTCATGACGTTTTGAAAATGCTCAAAAGCTGTAAATCTAGTGGCTATATATCTAGACAAACTACTACAAAACAGTACAGTAAGCTAAAGAAAAGATACGTAATTATTGTGGAATCATCACCAAAAAACCTGTTTTGACCCAAATGTAAGCAGAAAAAAACATACAACTTTGGCCATGCCCAATAATTACCATACAGCTTGGTAACCAAAAGGGAATATTTTCACCAGTATTGGAGATGTTTCACCATAAAATGCGCTTCAGAGAGATTTTATTTCTTTTCAGTGTAAACTTGATGTGGCCCAGATGGGAAAGTTCTTTTATAATTCTATTTCAAACAGACTAACAACATTCACTTCCTACATTTTATAGTTTCGTCCGCCACAGACAGAGAGCATCAAATCCCAAACCAACAACACAGCTATAAACGGATCTACCATTTGACTTACATACAGATAAAATAACATTTATAAGCTTCAAATAGTTTCATACAGCGAATATGATGTCAGGATAAAAATGATAACTTGGTTCCAATTCACATGTCCAAAATTTAGAATTCTATATAATTCAAGGGTTTTGCAGATAGCTGCAACCCCTAACAAACTATAGTGGAAAACTTATAGGCTGCGATTCCAATTTTAAATGCTACATACACAGTTGAAAAGTTTTAATTACATTCCACATAATAATAATAATCTATGACCTTTCTTACCTAATTATAATAACATCCCATGATGCAACAGAATTGTGATGGATGACAGACATGAGCCTAGGTTTAAAAAAAGAAAAAAAAACTCTGAACATTTATCATGGTACCCAACACCTAACCAGCCGGGGTCTGGGGGCTGCCCATCAGAACTGAATTTAAAAATGCAGAATTCCACGTTTTTGCAGAAAAAGCAGCTTAGGTATTGTCTGACCTAGTAAATTTTTAATATCACTCCCTAGTGATTGTTTTACTAAAGTCATTGAATACTTTGCCAAAAACACTTTTGAAAATTTAAAAGGGGTATGAGGGAGAAGGCTGTATTCAAACCATCCAAATTACAATGTGCAACATCAA